AACCAACCAACCACTCTTGGGGGGGGGGATTGGTGACTGCCCTTAGCACTGGCTGTGGGTCTTTTCTTCTTTCTGCACCCTGCCTTCCTGGGTTGGTGAAGTCCCTCCACTCAGAGTTCCTTCTCTCCCCCCCCCCATCGCCCCTCAGCGACCAAGTCTCAAACCACCTTCTGGGGTGGGAAGCTGGCAGTGGCAAAGACCACTGGGCTCTGGCTGTGGGTCTTTTCCTCTCTCTACACCTTGCCTTCCTGGGTTTGTGAAGTCTCTTGCCTCAGAGTTCCTTCTCTCCCCACCCCCGCCCCTCGGCGACCAAGTCTCAAACCACCTTCTGGGGTGGGGAGCTGGCACTGGCAAAGTCCCCTGGGCACAGGCTGTGGGTCTTCTCCCGTTTCTGCACCCCATCTCCCTGGGTTGCTGAAGTCCCTCACCTCAGAGTTCCTTCTCTCCCCCCCTTCGCCCCTCAGTGACCAAGTCTCAAACCACCTTCTGGGGCGGGGAGCTAGCACTGGCAAAGTCCCCTGGGCTCTGTCTGTGGGTCTTTTCCTCTCTGCACCCTGCCTTCCTGTGTTGGTGAAGTCTCTCACCTCAGAGTTCCTTCTCTCTCTCCCCCCCCCACCTTTGCCCCTCTACGACCAAGTTTGAAAGCACCTTCTAGGGTGGGGAATTGGCACTGGAAAAGTCCCCTGGGCTCAGGCTGTTGGTCTTCTCCCCTTCTGCACCCTGCCTCCCTGGGTTGCTGAAGTCTCTCACCTCAGAGTTCCTTCTCTCTCCCCCCCCATTTCCCCTTGGCGACCAAGTCTCAAACTACCTTCTGGGGTGTTGAGCTGACACCCCTTTCTTCCCCCTGCCTCCCTGGGTTGCTGAAGTCTCTCACCTCAGAGTTCCTTCTCCCCCACACTCGCCCCTAGGCAACCATGTCTCAAACTGCCTTCTGGGGGGGCCAGGTGGCAAAGATCCCTGGGCACAGGTTGTGAGTCTGTTCCCTTTTCTGCACCCTGCTTCTCTGAGTTGCTGAAATCTCTCACCTCAGAGTTCCTTCTCTCTCCCTCCCCCACCTTTGCCCCTCCATGACCAAGTCTCAAACCACCTTTGGGGGTGGGTGTTCCAATGGTTCCCTGGGAGGGTGGGGGGTTCAGCCCTGCCCATTGGTCACATCACCACTGGTGGGTGGAGGGTGGGCCCAGGGAGAGAGAGCCACCTGCCCCTGTGAAGATGTTCCCCAAGCCCCCGGGCAGGGTGAGGGTTTCAACCCTGCCTGGTAATCATGTTGTCACCAGTGGGTGGAGGGTGGGGCCCATGGAGAGAGCCCCACGTGAGTGGTTCGGCCCTGCCCAGCAGTCACGTTGCCGGTGGGTGGAGGGTGGGGCCCAGGGAGAGAGTGCCACCTGCCCTTGTGCAGGTGTTCCCCAGGCCCCAGGCAGGGCAGGGGGTTCAGCCCTGCCCAGTATTTACATTGCCGGTGGGTGGAGTTTGGTCCCAGGGAGAGAGATCCATCTGTCCCCGTGCAGGTGTTCTCCGGGCCCCGGGGAGGGTGGGAGATTCAGCCCTTCCCGGGAATCACGTTGCCACCAGTGGGTAGACAGTGTGCTCAGGGAGTGAGATCCACCTGCCCCCATGCAGGTGTTCCCCGGGCCCCGGGTAGGGCGGGGAGGTTCACCCTGTCCAGTAGTCACATTGCCAGTGGGTGGAGGGTAGGCCTGGGGAGAGAGCTGCACCTGCCTTGTGTGCATGTTCCCCGGGCCCCTGGCAGGGCTGGGGGGGGGGCTCAGCCCTGCCCTGGAATCACCTTGTCAGTCGGTGAAGGGTGGGCCCGGGGAGATAGTGCTACCCATCCCTGTGCAGATGTTCCCTGGGCTGGGTGGGAGGTTCTGCCCTGGTCGGTGATCCCATTGCCGTTTAAAGGAAAGAGCACCTACCATCCCTGTCACCTTCCCAGGCAGGGTGGGAGCCTGGGTCCCAACCAGTCCTCATGTCCAAAGGGCTGGGTGGTTGGCCCCAGGAAGACAGAGACACTCGCAACCATGTGGGTGGTCCCTGGGGAGGTCCTCTGGGAATTGGGTGCCTGTAGCTGAACGAGTTCTGCTCTGGACTGTCTGAAACCATCACTGGACAAGTCCTCCAGAAGCAGTTTCCCAGGAGGCACCGGTCTTGGGGGTCTGCTACTCATACCCCTCAGACCCAACAGGCATGTGACTTGTGGGGTATGTGAAGGGCCACCCCAGGGGTGGGCTGTGTGAGTTGGACACCTCTAGCTCACCGGGGTCAGTTTTGGTCACTCCTGAACCAGCGAGGGGGACATTGTCTCTTTGGGGGCCTGTAACTTGGCCCCCCAAAGTTGAAGAGGGACCAAACGTGGTAGGCACACTGAATAGAGTTAGCTGGAATCATGCTGAGAATTTGGGCCCCCAGGACCCCCCGGGGGTCTTTTCTGCATCTGGACTGGTCTGGGAATGGGGTCGATTCGGTTTGGTACAGGGCAAAATTTGGAAAGTGCCCATCCCTACTAGTTTGTAATAATCAACTTTTGGTTTTCAACACCTTGCTCACATTAATTATTTCATAAATACATAGTGTTACAATTATTGTTTTTCTGAATAGTGTTAAAGTTATTCATACATTCTGTTTGAAATGGTATGAGTTCAGTGTTATCTTGCAGCAGGAGAAGTTTACATTCAAATGTAAATCCCATAAGATCATGGTTTATTTGGTGTCATAACTATACTGGTACCATACTAGTAATGATTTGCTGTAAAAAGTAGTTGAATGGATCAGAGAAAGGGAATCCAGTCTGTGGTGCATAATATATCTTAATGATGATTGAAATGAAAATAATTTCAATAGCTGTATCAGTGTTCCATAAACTTATTTTTATGCTTTCTTTTAGCTAATTGGAGGCTATGATTGAAAAACTGGTTTGAAAAATCTTTGTTCTGAAAGTGTTGTGTGACCCAAGTTCATGTCCTTTTTTCCCTGCTTTAATAAGCTTTCTCACTTCTGGTGTTCAATCACAAAGCAGGTGGGGTAATTTTGCAGAACTCATGTTTGGAATTCCTTACATTAATAATGTTTTAAATGTTTTGTGTTGTAAGCTGCCTGCTTCCCTGGAGAGTGGTGGCATAAAAGTTTTCTAAATAATAAATCAATGAAAGTTTACAAAGAGGTAGAATAGTTTTTCTCATCCACTTTTCCACCAGCAGGCACCTGGCGTGGTTTATAACACTTGGCAATCCATACAAATAAGCAGGCATCCTATCCTATCCCCCCCTTTCTTTCTCTCTCTCTCTATCTATCTATCCCCAACTTATTGGCACTTTCTGGCTCTCCCATTGGCTGTGCTGAGTGCTCCATCAGCCATTGGCCCATCAACTGCCACTCAAGAGTACTCTCATGCCATTAGCTGTGTGCTGGGTCCACTCTTTTCCCTTGCCCACTGCCCGCTTGGCCACTTCCCTGTCTCAATAAACTGCCAAAATGGCTGTCTCGCCTGACAAAGATGCTTCTGCTGCTTGGATCCTCCATGGCTGGCTGGCTACTGAGGTGAGCTGCCCCCCTCAAACCATTCTCTTATCTTCCTGCTGTGGGACTAACCTTGCCCTCAGTGGCTATTGCTAGGCAATCAAGCTTGGTTTTGTCAGTAAAAAGGCAAAGGCAGGAGGCTCTTTCCTGGCCTACTTTGGCCTTTGTGGGGAACTCATTGGGGCCATACCTGACGAGGGATGCCAGTTCCAGGTTGGTGAATTCCTGGAGATTTTGTGGTGGAGTCTACAGAAGCCAGAGTTTGGGGAGGGGAGAATCTTCAGCTGAATAGAATGTCATAGAGTCCACCCTCCAAAGCAGTTATTTCCTCCTGGGGAACCATTGCTGCCAATCTCTAGGTGAGGGCTGGTGATCACTCAGAATTAAAACTGCTCTCCAGATAGCAGAGATCAGCTCCCTTGGAGAAAATGGCTGCTTTGCAGGGTGGACTTTTTGTCATTATACCCTGTTGAGGTTGCTTCCCTCCTCCTTGGTTCCCCACTGCGGAGAAAAACTGTACTTTTCCTAGGTAGAGACTGCAGGGGGGGAGATGGAAAACTGAAGTCAGAGGAGCAGATAAAGGTAGGTTGATGGACGGATGGGAATGAGATAGGGTTGCCACCTCCATGTTGGGAAATTCCTGAAGATTTGAAGAATGGCGCCTGGAGAGGGTGGGGTTTGAGGAGGGGTGGGACCTCAGACAGGTACGATGCCGTAGACACCACCCTCCAAACCAGCCATTTCCTCCTGGGGAACCATTGTTGCCAAACTCCAGGGGAGGGCTAGAGATCACTCAGAATTACAACTGCACTTCAGATGACAGAGATCAGTTTCCCTGGAAAAAATGGTGGACTCTGTCATTATACCCTGCTCAGGTTGCCACAGCAAATTGACACTGACTGCCCAAGGCCAGGGCACCCATCCAAGAGCCTCTTTGTAGAGCTTGTTGAATATTTCCACAACAGGCCTTATTCCTAGTATCAATTATAAATTCTTAACTAAAATCCACATCCGATAAGTAAAAACAAAATGCTAAAACTCGAAATTAATCAGGCAATAGTGATGGTGTTCTTCTAGCTCTCTTGTGTTCCATAGGAGTTCTATTTAATTTCAGCAAAAGAAAGAATTAAGTAGGGCAAAAAGTCTTTCATTGAGCCAGAAGAATGTTTTAGCTATAAACTGTAATCCAGCAGTCTATAGGTTTCTTTGATGAAGCTCCCACACAAGTGAGTTTGTGTTCACTCCAGTGTTGGGGAACTTTGTATGCACTGGTTCAGTCACCATTCCATCGTGCACATTGGAATTCCCATGTGCAAAACTGAGACATAAGTTTTGAGTGGGTTTTATGTAGAAAATACTGCACTAATTGTACTTTTGTAAGACAACCATTACAGGACAATTAATACAATCCTGTGTTGTTGTTTTTAACAGACTTCAGAATTATTAAGTCTATGGTAACCAAGACTATTTTTTCCTATTCACAGAGCAAGCTTTTCATGGAAGGATTTAGAAGCCTAAAAGAAGGAGAACCGGTGGAATTTACTTTTAAGAAATCTTCCAAAGGCCTTGAATCAATACGGGTAACAGGTCCAGGTGGGATACCCTGTTTAGGAAGTGAGAGACGACCCAAAGGAAAGACAGTACAGAAAAGAAAGCCAAAGGGAGATAGGTAATTAATTTACTAACTTTTTTCTATTTATGCATTTTTCTGAAAGTATTAATAGTCTATAATAATTTGTGAAAAGACTTGCTTCTTCATATACTCATAAGTAATAATGCCAAAGTATAAAGAGATTTAATTGATTACCAGTGGTATGTTGCATCCAGAAAACTCCCTGTAAAAGAAGGTAACATACAATTGGCATCTACTTGCATCACCTTTCACTATATACGGATTGATTATTTCAAAATTTGTTCCAGTTTTCTGGACATTGCATTCCTTTACTTGTAAGTACCAGTGAGCTTCTGGTGGTTCTTTTTGCTCACTTAGATCACTTCATGGTATTCAAATGTTCTTTATGACTATGATGATGAAGTGATGTATTTCAGATTAATTCCTGCCTTTGAAATGGGTTTCAAGAGTATATCCTCTAAAATTAAAAACCTTCTGAATATATATTATGTTTTAGTTAAGCTTACATATGCCTGTCTTGTGTTGTATGTACCACCTAGAAGTTTGATTAGGTAAAACAGATGATGCAGATGTGCAATTTCCCTGTAGTGCTGTGATATTTTCTGTACAGCAAGCAACATGTAGGGACATATTTTTGTGATAACTTGGTAGTATAGCAGCTGGAATGCAACTTCTTGAGTGTTTATGTCCTTGCACAGCACATCTTAGATGCTAAAGCATTTCAAATCTTACACATGGAGATCAATTAAAATGGTTGTTTATGTTGTTGTGCAACAGGAGAATGAAAAATCCTGGGTGATTCTGTGATCTGAGTTGAGATTAGATTTGGATGGTAGGGTGAGTGATCCTACTCAAAGCAGGTGTGGTAAGAGATTGCTTGACTTTGGAGTTTTTGAAGACTATGCTGTGTAAATCTGTGAGGTTCTTATTCAGATGGGGCAGCTGCTGTGTAGTTGTGATCATTATGTGTTGTTGAAACCTAAAAACTTGCCAGCTTAAAAAGGAAATAGTTGGCTTTCCTAGATGTTTGTTTAGTTGTTTATTTGATGTTTTAGCCCTGCTTTTCTCCCCAGTGGGGACCCAAAGGAGCTTACAGCATTGTTCTCCCTTCCTCCATTTTGTCTTCACAACAACCCTGTGAGGGAGGTTGGGCTGAGAGAGACTGGCCCAAGATCTTTCAGACGGCTTTCTAGCAGATTGGGGATTTAAACTAGTCCAGTCTCCTAACCAGTACACCATTTCCATGACATCGAGATTTGTATTACAGACCCATTCAAGCCTGCATGCTGAACAATTTTAAAACATGCTGTTGACATGTATAATAACAAGTATCCTATGGATGATGAGTGATTGATAGGGATAAACATCCATTAATATCAAGTAAGGTTGGTCTTGAGCTGATTGAAATATTCAGTCACTGCTGAATTACCATGTAATGCATGCTACAGTGGATTATTAATAATACAATGGGTATTGATGAGGACATGCAAAAGTAGTAGGTGAAATGACTTCATGGAGTAGTTCCAGGAAGACATTTCCTGCATGAAAGACAGTGTGGAAGAAGGGCTAAGAAGATGGGCAAGCAGAGACAGAGCTAGGCAGATTTTTCAAAGAAAAATCCCAGGCATTGCATAGTGAGAGGCATAGGTTGTAAAAGGCCACTATGAAATATAGACATGAGCGAAGCAATTTCTTGACTTTTGATCTTTATTTGGTCTCATCGCAGTGGACCTTTTTCAAGTATCCTAGTCTGGGTGGAACAGCAGACACAGGGTCTTAAGTTATTATAGTGGCGGCTTCAGCACCCCACAATTGGGTATCACTGTCCAATAAATAATCCGAGCCCGTCCGCTGCTCTCATTGTCACATGGATCTCATATCACTGGGTTCCAAGGGCACTCCCGACTTAGGTAGTATCACCACCGTTGGTGATGGTGGTGGCGGCGGTGGCCCCTACGTAAAGGCCTGGTGGAAGAGCTCCGTCTTGCAGGCCCTGCGGAACTGCATAAGGTCCCGCAGGGCCCTGATCTCTTCTGGGAGCTCATTCCACCAGGTAGGGGCCACCACTGAGAAGGATCTAGCCCTTGTAGTAGCGAGCTTTACCTCTCGGGGGCCCGGAACTACTAATCGGTTCTGGGTCCCCGACCGTAGTGCTCTTGGGGGTATGTACGGGGAAAGGCGGTCCCTCAGGTAGGTCGGACCCAGGCCATATAGGGCTTTAAAGGTAAGCACCAGCACTTTAAAGCGGATTCGGTATGCTATTGGCAGCCAGTGCAGTGCCTTCAACCCAGGCTTGATGTGCTCCCACCTGGGGAGGCCCATCAGCAGCCTAGCTGCTGCATTCTGCACTAGCTGCAGCTTCCGGATCAGCGATAAAGGCAGCCCCATGTAGAGAGCATTACAGTAGTCTAGCCTTGAGGTGACTGTCACATGGATCACTGTAGCCAGATCTTCGCGGCTGAGGAAGGGAGCCAACTGCCGAGCCTGCCTCAGATGGAAAAATGCAGACCTGGCAGTGGCCGCTACCTGTGCCTCCATCGTTAAAGAGGAGTCCAGGAGCACTCCCAAACTCCTAACCTCCGACCAAAGGCACCCCATCGAAAGTCGGGAGAGGGAGCCCCAACCCCAAACCGTTTCGACTCAGGCCCAGGACCTCCGTCTTCGCCGGGTTTAGTTTCAACCGACTCAGCCTGAGCCACTCAGCCACGGCCTGTAATCCCTGGTACAGATCTTTTGGGTCGGAGCCCGACCGGCCACCCAACATCAGATAGAGCTGGGTGTCATCTGCATATTGATGACAACCCAGCCCATACCTCCTGGCAATCTGGGCGAGAGGGCGCATATAGATTTTAAAAAGCATCGGGGAAAGCACTGCCCCCTGAGGCACACCGCATTCAAGCGGGTGTCTCTGGGACTGCTGTTCCCCTATTACCACTCTCTGTCCCCGATCTTGGAGAAAAGAGGCAAGCCATTGAAGGGCAAGCCCCTGTATCCCCGC